TTCTTTTTGCTTATGTGGTGCTGAGGAATCGAACCCAGGGCCTCAGGCATGCAAGGCAAGCGCTCTACCACTGAGCCACCTTCCCAGCCCTCCAGGTGTGGTCTGACCAGAATATAAGGACAGTGGTGGATAGTATTTAGATCTAAAGTATTCATCAAGTTAATTTCACATACTTGCACCAAAGAAATGGCAGAAAGCTTATCATTCAAATATTGAAAGAAGTCCATGGGAGTCTGTACCCAGGGATTTGGGACCACTGGGTAGTGGTCAGAAAGAAATATTTATTGAATTTAAGAAACAACATGAATTTTGTTGTTACTTTTGTGTATAAATTTAAATGACTAAAATTTGCTCATGTTTTGTTATATATATGGTCAGTTCCATCCACTAGATTGAAAGTCTACATAGTTTTTTTTTTTTTTTTTTGTTGTTGTTGTTGTTTGTCATGGGTTTGAACTCTGGGCCTGGGTGCTATCCCTCAGCTCTTCAACTCAATGTTAGTGCTCTACCACTTGAGCCACAGTGCCATTTCTGTTTTTCTTGTGGTTTGTTGGAGATAAAAATCTCATAGACTTTCCTGCCTGGGCTGACTTTGAACTGTGATCCTCAGATCTTAGCCTCCTGAGTAGCTAGGATTACAGACATGAGCCATTGGTACCATTAGGGCTTGAACTCAGGGCCTGGCACACTAGGACTTGAGCCACAGCTCTAATTAATTCTGGCTTTTTGGTGATTCATTGGAGATAAGCATCTCATAGACTTTTCCTGCCCAGCCTGAATTTGAATGATTCTTAGATCTCAGTCTCTTGAATAACTAAGATTACAAGTGTGAGTCACTGGTGCCCAGCTTTATAAAGATGCTTCTAAGTTTTTCAGGTTGGTATCTGAGAAAGGTTGGTGTTTAAGGTATTTTGAATTTTCTTTAAATCAGTTTATTTATACAGAATAAAAGGAACCTCCCCTCCTCCCACCCTGCATTTAAAAATGTAAAGCTTTCTGGAAATTAGTAGTCAGTTCTGCCATTGTTGTGTGAATGTAGCCATAGGAGTTATAAGCAAACACATGGCAAGGTAGTATTCTGATAAAACTTTATTGACAAAAGACAGAACCATGTCAAATAGTTTAGTAGATGTCTTCTTTAGTAATGCTGTAGGATAAAATAGATTATTGCATTGCTAGACAAGCTTCACTTGAGCCATACAACAGTCCATTTTGTTTTTAATTTATTTTTCAGATAAAGCCTCACTTTGGCCTGGGGCTGGCCTTAGACAATGATTCTCCTACCTCTACTTTGCTCATAACTGGGACTACAGGCATGCTTCACCACATCTACTTTGTGCTTGCTGTCACAGGTCGGAATAGCAAGAATGTCTGAGTTAGTGACTCAGTCTGAGTTTTGGAGTCGGCTTAAGTGACAATGTTTCCATTAGGTCACCAAGTCTTATGGTCACCAGGGTGATGACTGGAGATTACGCAGGTTTGGAAAGAGATAGGGATGAAGGTTGCCTTTGTACCATCTTGTTAGAGTGATTTTTTCTTTCTTTCTCTTTTTTGGCATTGGAGTTTTTCATTCCCTGACCTCCTCAATTCTAAATTTTATCTTATGGAAAGTGGAAGTTTATTTATTTATTTGTTTGTTTTGCATAGTGGATGTGGTATACAGGAACCTGTGTGTCATTTTAATATTTCTGCCAATGACCGGTGATGGAGTGAGTCTGAAGAGACCCGCCCATTCTTATAGAACAAACCCCAGAACCAGGGTACAGGCCCCTTCTACATCTAAATCAGAAGGTGTGTATCCCCTGTGGTGCTCGCCTGGGCACTGCCAGGCTACCCCAGCTGCATTTGGAGAACTTCTCCTTCAGGGCACTCCCTGAGCTGACTTTGATCTCTCTGTTTTAAAATCTACAATATTTGTATGCAAATTTCAAACCATAAAAGACAGTTTCCCAGGATGGTATCCAAGAGATCTTATAGCCTGAGGATACAAAAAAAAAGTATTTCTTGGGAGCAAAAAGATGAAACTAAAGATAAATCTCCAAGTGTCTTTTCTGGTTATTCCGTGGCTACAGGTTTTTCAGAGTAACCCAGGCTGTTGTGGAGAGACTTTAAAAAAAAAAAATCAATGCTTCTCATTCCTAAGGAGACCCTCAGTAAAAATTGAAGACTGACAACTCTGCCCCATGCAAATATTTTTATTATGTATTCAAATTTAAACATGTATCAAGCATCTGCATATGTGTAGAGTTTAAAGACTATTTCACACAAGGCTCAGAGAGTGCATACTCTTTAAATCTCCGTTTAGTAAAAGGTGACTCTGGTACCTTAGTCAAACCTCCGGTTTGCAAGTGTGTAATAAATCATCTTCTCACACGTGTACATGTAAAGTCGACTGCTTACCCTTGCTCCACACACCCACCCCAGTTTAATTCCCCCAGTAAAATTGATTCCCCAACGTCTGCAAATTATTCTCGCTGTCTTCCATTTAGTGCGTCAGTTGGCTGACAGCAGAGTACACAGCACTTAGCAGCTGGGTTGTGGAGCCATCAGTCAGGAAATCGCATGATAAATAGGAGGTGGCTGGGTTTGGTGGCACTTCCTTCTGCTTCAGCAGTTTTTGCCTGACTTCGGAGAAACCACCGTGGGGCGTTTTGTCAAGAGCCAGGGCAGGAGATGGCTGTGCTGTGCTAACTTATTACACATGCCCTTGAGTTATGATGTGACACAGCTGTCCTGCTCATGTGTAAATAATAAGCCAGGAGGTGGATAATGATGGCGGCTGCCTCTTCTTGTCACTGGGGTTTTCTTGGATAGCACGCTGGGCCTGTGATGGAATGTGCTGTGGATTCACATGGAAACTAAGGCGCAAGTTGAGCACTCAGCATTTGAGGATGTAGGAGCATCTTTTGTGAAGGTGTGAGGATTGAGGGTGTGAGTCTTGAGTGTGTGTGCGCGTGTGCACACTGGTACTGGGGCTTGAATTCAAGACCTTATGGTCTCGTTTGGCTTTTTGGCTCAAGGTTAGTGTGCTACCACTTGAGCCACAGTTCCACTTGGTAGCTTCTTGCTCAGAATCGGAGATAAAAGTCTCATGGGCTTTCCTGCTAGGGAGGGCTTTGAACCTTGATCCTCAGATCTCAGCCTCCTGATTAGGATTATAGGCATGAGCCACGGGAGCCCAGCAGGACAACTTCTTTTAAGCTTAATTGAGAAGGAAACATAGAAACTATGAAACAAATGAAAACCAGATGTGTTCTGCACATCCAGTTATTTTCTGTTCTTTACTTAAACCTAATTTCAGAACACAGAATTTGTAAGTTTCCTTGGGACAGAACTAACTGCCTTGTTTAGTGTTAACAAAGTCACACAATACCCATTCAATCAGTGTTAACTATCAGACTCAACATTTGAGAAGTGACCACTTTAATGACCTGGGGATTGTGGCTTAAAAACATTTTTTTTTCCATTCAAAAATTGCAGACATTGTTTATTTTCTATTTCATTCTGAAAAGGTTAAGGTGAGAAAAATAAATGAGTCTAAAATCTGAAAGAATATATTCTTGAGAATAAAACGATAGTGAAGTTTTTTCAATGTCAATGTTAACACTGTAGAGATTTTTATACTGCTTGGGTACATTTGTTTGATTTTATTGAATTAGTAGTTGGTCTTCCTCCCTGTGTATATAAGTTACTGCGAATTCATTATTAATACTCATATTAAAGATAATAACTTACTTTATGGACATAGGATGCATCTATGAGAATAAAGTCACATATTTTAGACATGTGTATATGTGTATAAATTGTTTTTGTGCCCACATAGAGAAAGCCAGGTATACTTCACATCTATTTATCTGCTAGAAAGAATTTTGTTATGAAGATGACTGAGAGGTAAAAAGTAAACCTTTTTGTGTGGTGCCAGTAGTAGGGGCTTGAATTCAGGGTCTGGGGGCTGTTTTGTAGAGTTTTTACTCAAGGCTGGTATTTTACCAACTTGAGCTACATACAGCCCCACTTCTGGCTTGTTGCTTGTTAATTGGAAATTGGAGATAAGAGTCTCAGACTTACCTGCCTAGGCTGGCTTTGTACTGTAGTTCTCAGGTCTGCCTCCTGAGTACCTAGGATTTCAGGTGTGAACTGCTAGAGCCCAGCTTGTAGTTTTTAAATGCCACTTCCTTAGGAGGAAGCTGGGATTATAGGAATGAGCCATAGTGCCCTCCTCTTGATTTTCAAGAGGGCTTGGCCTCTTTGAGCTTTCTCTCTAAAAGGCCTTTCTTCCAGCACAAGGAACTGTGCAGTGGGTGCATTCTATTTCTTCTGGATTTCCAGTATTAAGTTTTAGCTACAGTACAGAGTCTACTTTCTCAGGTCCCTCTGCTCATGCACTCATACTCTGTGCCTCAGGGACCCTCATCTTGAACTGTCAAGAGTTCTTCCTGAAATTCTCACTGGAGGCTCCATGTAGGAGGCAGAGATAGGAGTGCAGAGTTGCTATTTCACTGGGTTTATTTTACAGATGATGGTCTTTCTTTCTTTTTCAGACCCTCCTCATCTTTTCCCTGCCTTCCATCCTCCTGTTCCCATTGATGCCAGACATCATGAGGGCCGGTACCACTACGATCCATCTCCTATTCCTCCATTGCATGTGTAAGTATTCAAAGTTCACGCATCAAGGAAATGGAAGAAGTTAGCAAATTTTTGTGGGTCTCACGACTTTTATGAGTGGCACATGTCCTAGGCTTTAAAGATGTGACAGGGATTTGAGATTTGAAATCCAGCAAGTCTGTTTCCAAATTCACGGAAGCAGAACCCTGCTGTTTCCTGAGAAATTTCTGTTGCAGGAGGCAGCTAGCTTGTAAGCATTTTCCTATAGATTCTCTTGACTTGTGTTCAGTAAACACAAAATGAAAAAAAAAGTTCAAGCTTCATGGAAGGTTACTTCTTCAAGTATGTATTTGGTGGAATTAACTTTGAAGTTTTTCATGCTAAATGTTTTTGTTACATGAAAGTCTTGTCTTGGGGATCATAGTAGATCGTAATGAAAATTTTATGGTACATTTTCATAGCTCCGGTGGTATGTATACCCACAGTCACTTGATGGATGGGAATGTCACCCGAATAAAATGGCCAGTGTGCCAGAGCACATGGTTTGCATAAAGATAAAAGGAAGGAATGATAGAGGGAGCATGCATCAGAAAAGGGTAAAGAAAATCTTGTTGAAATAAAATATCTTCTTTTTTTGGCTTGGAGATTTTTTTTTTTTTTGAAGAGTAGATTTAAAAGCTAAAACAAATCCTTTCCAGTTTTATCCAGCAAACTGGATCCCAGTTGTACTGGGACCCACGCTATGGTAGGGACTGTCACTCGGTGATGGCCTTGATATATACTCATTTAGTCCTAGGAAGTAATTACTGTTCATTTTGAGACAGTAAAGTTAAAAAAACACAAATAATACACTGAAGAATAATACTAGTTATTTAAATGGTAGATTGCATCTCTGTGGCTATTAGTTACAGCTGTGTAATTACATATTATGCAGAAGGAAAAAAATGAAGTTGTTTTAAAACAAGTCCTCCTCTGTGAACAGAATTAATTGATATTAACAGGCCTAACTACATGCCCAAATACACATATAATATTTTACCCACAGTTTTTCTAGATCCATCTTCCATTACTGAATTGTAATTTCAGTGTAGATTTGCCTGGAGGTAAGTCATAAATCTGTGTTGCAGACTTCCCTAAGTATTAAAGGAGAAGTGGGTATTTATAGAGGAAAAATGACCAAACTTGTGACTTAGTCTGTAACTTTTCACTGGAATACAACTATTTTCAGGGTTTCAATGTCTGCTAAAAATAGGCTGCCATAAAACCAAGGGACCAATTTAAGATCTCCTGTACAAAAGGAAGGAAATGCCAAATTCCATTTGAAACATGGCATGTCCTTCACCCGGTTATACAGCTCTTTCATGCAAGAGAGGGCACCACATGGATCTCAGATGCACCTCTCTCCCATGGGACAGAGAATGCAAGGATGGCTAATTCCTACCAGGCTTAGGTCTCTGTGCTGAAGTAATTCAAATCAGATTTCCTGTGGAATTTTGGAATGATTTGCGCTTTGAAAATCCATGTTCTCATTTTTAGAAATAGGTTTCATAGCATGTATTGTGTCATAAGACTATACTCCTACCTACCTGGGAGGCAGAGATGGGGGAATTAGGGTTTGAGGCCAGCCTGGGTGTAAAAGTTCATGAGACCCCTGTCTCATATAGTGGCTGGTGTGGTAGTGCAGGCTTATTATTAGTTCAGCTACAAGGGAAGCACAATGGCTCATTATCCTCACTGACACAAGGAAGCACAAGTAGGAAGATCTCAACTTAGGTCAGTCTGGGCATAAATTGAGACACTGTCTCAAAAAATACCCTTTGAAAAAAATAGGCTAGAGTTATGGTTCAAGTGGTATACAACATGGCTTGTAAGCTTGAAGCCTTGGATTCAATTCCAAGTACTACCAAAAAAAAAAAATCCAAAACATAAGAATGAATTCAAGTAATAAGTTGATGTATTTCCCCTGATTTCATTACAGTTTGCTTTATAATTAAATGTAAACATAAATTTATTGATAAAGATTCCAAAGCTGTGTTTCTTTGATAGAATATAGTAGTAGCAAAAGTCCTATAGTCCTTGGACTCGGGTTGGCGGCTATCATTTAGCTTTTTTACTCAAGGCTAGTGCTTTACCTCTGCTCCTGGCTTTTGTCTGGTTAAGAGTCTCACAGACTTTTCTGCCCAGGCTGACTTTGAACTGAGATGGTGAGCATTATCAGCCTCCAGAGGAGCTAGGAGTACAGGTATGGGCCACTGGAGCTTGCTTCATTGGCGCTTAGTGATGATAGCTACATAGAACAAGGCAGGTCAGAACTGGAGTACTGGGGACCAGTTGGAATTGCCATTTTACACGTGACTCTGAGCGCTGATTTCTCTTCATTTGAATACTTTCTACTTTTTAAGCCAGGCTTTCAGATGCTTCATAGCAAGTGACTAAATAATTTTCTAGCAGATGTGTTCATAGCATGTAGGGTACTTGTAGGTCTGTGACCTCCTGAGAAGGCTCAGCTTCCCATCTTAGCAGGCCAGTGAGTGGCTCCTTCACTTAGGAAGTAGAATGTAGGAAGCTGGGGCTAGTCACGCATATGCCCTTGTCTTATAGCCTGGCATTCTTCTTGCATTGATCCCAGTGGCCTTTCTTCTCTGCAGGGCAAGCTAGTGATTCTGATCATCCTCAAAGCCTAATCCAAGGGTCAGCGTCACTAGCAGTCACAGAGGCTGTTCTGTACCGCCTGTGTGCATTTTCATTGCAGTGATTGTCCTCTTGCTTGGGGTTATACCTTTATCTGTCACTGTTCCCTGTAGGTTGTAGGCATGTGCCAGTACTGGTAAAAGATGCTTAGTGGTCAGTTGTGCTGGTCCAGTCTCTGAGGTGGCAGCTGAACCATCGTATTTTACTGAACCAGTATTTTTTCCCCAAACTAGCTCAGTAATGATCCCTCAGCCTGTCACCAGAGGCTCATGCCTGTAATCCTACCTACTCAGGAGGCCGAGAGCTAAAGATTTGTATTTGAAGTCAGCCCTGGAAGGAAAAGTCCATGAGACTCTTATCTCTAATTAATCAACAAAAAGCAAAAGTGGTGTTGTGGTTCAAGTGGTAAAGCACTAACCTTGAGCAAAAAAGCTAACAGATATCACACAGGTCCTGAGTTTAAGTTACAGTACTGGCATTTTCTCCTCCCCCTCCCCCCACCCCACCCCATCCTACAAAGAGATGAGCCCTTGGGCTAATTTTAGAATCTTCAAGGCCTGCTTTTGTTGTGGGTAACTTAGAAAATCAAATTTCTACAACTGCTGGCTAGACAGTTGTGAGCTTGCTAAGCTTTTTGAGTTGGGGAAGTGGGGGGTGGGTGGGGGCTTGAACTCAGGGCCTGGGCACTGTCCTTTAGCTTTTATGCTCAAGGTTAGTGTTTCACCTCTTAAGCCACAATTCCACTTCTGGCTTTTTTCTTAGCTATGTAGTTGATAAGTGTCTCTTGGGCTTTCCTGCCCAGACTGGCTTTGAACCACAATCCTAGGATCTCAGACACCATAGCCCAGCTAGAATATTTTTAATTATAAATAGGTAAAATATGGGCGATGTCTTCATTATTTGGCCCACACAGTTGTTGTGGTGCCAACTTTAGAAAATAAATTATAACTGTTTGACGAACAAGGGTTTTTGTTGAGCAAAATGCTGACAGGTCTGGGTTCAGAAGGATGGTAGGTACTGTGGTAATTGTGCCATCATATCCCATCATTAAAGATTCAATTGAAAGAGGTTTATAAATTGCTCCTCTTTTTAGATAAACCACCTTATATTAAGGCATCCAGCGCTAGGGTGCAGAATTAAATTAAAATCTCATAAAATGAAATATGTTCTGTATTAGCTGTTTGACACTTAATTTGCCTCTGAATGAGTAGAGGAAATCACAAATTAACCTGCCTTTGTTTTTCCAGCCATGGCTTATTAGGTGTTAGAACAACGGCAATTATAGCCTAATAATAACCCAGAAGCCTTATAAATATGTACGGAAATCCGTCAGCTTCGGTTTAAGAACCCGATTTGTTACAGGGACTGCCTTTGGCTTTCTTTCTCCTCGCTCTCTCCATCCTCTCCACAATTTATAGTTAGGTGATAGAACTCGAGTATAGAAACTTTAATTGATTCAAATGCAGTATTGGGGGGAATATTAAGATTTATTAGCATTTCTCTTACATCATATATTTTGATTCTAAAGGAGCAGGTGCGACTTGGAAGGTGGAAGGATTGTCTCCTTGAGTCATCACCTGAAAAGTCTTAGAATATCGTCGAGTCCTGCATTGGGTTGATGTAACTCAAGTAGTTTCTTGAACATTGGGTAGGGGAAATCTTCCCCTATCTTTCAAGTCCTTTCCAGCGGATTCAGTACAGCTTGTATCTGGCAGACAATTGGAGCATGTTCTCTCTTTGTCTCCCTTCCTCTCCCTTTCTCTTTTCCTCTCTTTCTCCCTTTCCACCGGTCTCTCCTTTCCTCTACTTCTCTCTCTTCTTTCTCCTCTCTTCCTCCGTCTCTCTGTCTCCCCTTCTCTCCCTTCCTCTTCTGTTCCTCTCTCTGTCTCATCATGTCTTATGGTCACAGACTCTTATGTTCAGCCATGCAAAAACAACAAAAATACAATGTAAGAAGAAATGTAAAGGTCCACTTTATTGTATTACTGGGATTATTTGGAGCATCAATGACAAAACCCAAACCAAACTATATGTAACCAAGGCAATAATGCTATGTCTTCATTTTTGCTTGGTCTTCTGTATTTCCTGACCTGCTCTGTGTGTCTCAAGGCTGTGTCCTTGAGAATTCATGATGCCCTTTACACTAAAAATTCATATCAGTATTTAGAATTTCATTTGGAAATGTGGAGTCACAGTATTACATCTTCCTACCCCAGAATACACTTGTATTGTCAAGTGACTACTTGTGTAATACACTTTTTCTCGTGTGGTGTGTGTGTGTGTGTGTGTGTGTGTGTATTTAAGTGTTACTACTCACTTAGGCATCTTTCTTTTTTAATGTAGATGTGGCA